ACATCCTTGCTAGCATTTGGTATCATTTGTTCTCTTGATCCTAGCCAGTCTGATTGGGGGAAGGTGATATCTTAGGGTGGCTTTAATTTTCATTTCTCTAATTACTAACAGCGGTGAACACTTTTTGAGAAGTTTCTTAGCCATCATTATTTCTTCCTTTGAGAACTCTCTGCTTAGATCTTTATCCCATCTTTTAATTGGGTCATTTGGTTTCTCGATTCTTATGTTTTTTGAGTTCTTTATATATTCTTGATGTTAAATGTCTTTCAGAGGTGTCACTGCTGAAGATTTTTTCCATTCTTTGGATTTTCTCTTCACTTTTTGATTGTTTCTTTTGCTGTACATAAGCTTTTTAGTTTAATGAGGTCCCACTTATTGATTGCTGACCTTAATTCCTGAGCAACTTCTGTCTGATTTAGAAAATCCTTTCCTACACCTATATCCTGTAAGTTACTGTAAACAAGTTTTGAAGTTCACATCTCTGTAGTTTCCTTCCCTTTATAAGTTTGTTCCTCAAATCCCAGAGGTATTTGTTCCCAAGCTCCATCTCTTTGCTTCTAGTATACTGAGATTGCCAGTGTCTATTTATCTTTGTTGCTCCTAGCTGCCACTGAAAATGCTCAGGGGGAGGTGGAAGAATTGTTTTTATTCTCTCAAGGACTGTGCCCAATTAAAATCCTCTCTTATTGGCAGTTTCCCAGTGTCTTAAGTTGTTCTATATACATTCGTTTTACTTGTCTGGTGTAGTGTGTGTGTCTGTATGTGTGTTACAATTGTTGTTAAATATATATTCATAGTTTTATATATATGTGTGTGTAATAAAATTTGCACATAATTTGTCTTGTTTTTATAATTGTTCCGTTTCTATAATTATTTTCAGTGAGAGGTCAAATGCAATTTAAGATACATTATTACCAGACTGTCTCCAACTTCCACTCTTTACCTTAGTTTTCATAGTTTATCTCCATCCCATGACTCTTCATACTCACTACTCAACTCCTAACACAGTTTTTAGTATGTTCATTCTTCTGTTTTTTTAAAAAAAACATTTATGGGGGGGTGCACGTGAATGCCCATGGCATGTGTATGACAGTCAGAGGACACCTTTTCAGGAGTCAGTTCTCTCCTTCTGCCTTGTTTTTTTGTTGTTGTTTGGTTGGTGGTTGTTACTGTTTTTGAGGCAGGGTCTCTCTTGGTTCTTCTGTTACAGTGACTATGGAGTTTCCTAGCAATTCTCCTGTCTTCTTCCATTTTCACTTCTATGTTCCAAATAAATTTTCTGACTCCTGTACCCTACGTTCCATCTCTAGATCTCAACTTTTGGTGTCCAATCTCAATTATGATTCCCACATTCTATTACTTGTGATTTCCACATCCCAGACACCGGTGATTTTCTCACTGCCCTACTACATCTGCTTTCCAGTAGCCCACTCTTTTGTTTTTAATTTAATTTAATTTTTTTCACATGTGTGTGTTTTGCCTGCATGTGTAAGTGCACCGGTATCATGCAGTGCCCATGGAGGAGAGAAGAGAGTGTCAGATT